CGACTATAGAAACTATATTAGTGCAGTTTGATATCGATTGTATGAATGCACCTCGTTGGATAAGATTCGAGGCTCGAATATAAGTATGGTATAACCATAAGTTTATTTCGACTCCATAATCAGCAATAGACGATAAAATAATTGATAAAAACAAAATAAATAAAACTGAATATAGAATCGGGAAAGCAAACGAAACCTCAAGTAAGGGTTAAAAAGTACAGTTTTCAGGTGGGGAGGTTGATATGAGAAGAAGTACGTGTTCGCTAGATAGAATGGAAAATCGTTGAGGTGAATCTAATACAGAAAGAAACAAACTTGTATATTAGGCTTTTATTAGACTAAGAGTCTCAAAGCCGCAGAAACCAAAGAATGACTTCAAATCAAAACTCCATGCTATTGAAGGACGAACAGTATGGACCTTTCCCCGACCTTTGACCCCCGAAAAATTCTTCCTATACTTTACCATTGCAAAATTTTCGGGGCTATTTTACGAGTGCTTTTGCGAGTTGGCGCCTGTAAAATGGGGTATGTGCCTCAAACCATCATTATGATTCATCGCATACAACAATCTGATTTTCAAAAGTACGGGTGAAGAATTTTAGCCTAGTCTATCACAGCTACTGAGTGAGTTCAAAAACGCGAAAACGAGGTAATGTTTACGTCCGCGCTTGAAAATCTGTCTGAGTGAAAACAGTGTCTGAGCGGATGCGAAAAGGGAGCTTTGTTACGTCACTTCTTGCATCTTGCTGATTGGCCAATGTCACGATGTGAACAAGGAAGTCGATGCTCGGGGCGAGGCCCATACGTCAGCAGGGTCAAATGTCGTGGCTGTTTTAGGCGTTGCTAGATTCCAAGACATAAATCACCACATTCTCCCCAGCTGATAAAAGTAAGACAATAAAAGTATAATATTAACTCAAGTATGGAAACGTTAACTGAAATTAATGAATTCAAAAGTCACCCAATTACGAGGTCCAGTCTTTATAACAATCAGGCGCCATTTTGAAACGACTCGACCGACGAATAGGCATCTCTTCCTTCTTAATTGGAGTAGAAGTTTTATCTGCTACTTCAACTAAGTCATCAGAAGGGATTGTGTCATTGTTATTCAAATCGGGATTCTCAAAACTAAATGGCACATCCTTAGGAGTTGATTCCGATATGGGTTTAGTCTTTTCAAATTCCAATTGCTTGTAGTCAGATTGTATAGTTTCAGGGAATCGCGCCAGATCACTCGTTGAAACCGTAGATTCTTGACCATCGGGATAATGGATTAACGAGTACTTGGTGTTAGCTTCCAGAAGCTCAACTTCTTCACAAATCGGGTCGCTTTTCGCTGGTACAAACTTGCGTAGGAGTACTTTATCGCCATTCAATAGCCAGTCTGGTACGGCGTTTCCAAGCATAGATCGTCTTTCAAAATTGAACATGCGATTATGTGGCGTAGTACCAGTGGAGGTGCAAAGATGTGATCTTGTCGCATGTAGAGCGTCTGGCAGAACTTCCTCACAAGCACTCTCGGGCAGATTTCTTGATAACAGCATCAGTTTGATAGTTTTCCATATGGTCTGGTTTGCCCTTTCGCACTGGGAATTCCCTTTCGGGTGATAAGGAGTTGTATTGCTAGTCGCTATACCCTTTCTTGCAGGAAACTCTCTCAGTTCATTAGCCAAAAATGAAGTTCCTTTGTCGCTGTGAACATACTCCGGTAGACCAACCAATGAAAATAATGATGCGAGACATTTAAAGACAGTGATTGCAGTCATGTCTGCACATGGGTAAACAAAAGGGAATCTACTATACTCGTCCAATACCACGAGCAAATATTGCCGTTTTCCCGCGGCGGGACCTTTAAAATTAATACTAATTCTCTTCCACGGCCGAGTAGCTTTGACCAAGTGATGGCTCCCATTGATTTATAAAAGTTGGGTTTTATTTGGGCACATTGTCGACAATTAGCGCATTCTCTCTTCACATCGTCAAGAGAAAAGGGCAAAGATTTTTTAGAGCGTATGTAATGAAGTAATCGACGAACACCAGGATCCAATTGAGTATGAACTTTTCTTAGACTTGTAATACAACAAGCGTTGCTAGCACAAATTCTTGACAATGCGTCTGGTGCCACATTTTCTACACCTGGTCGATGGACAATTTCATTGTCAAATACAGAAAGTTCTAGTATCCACAATTGTAACTTTGTATTCTTAATTTTACTTTTATAATTTTTCCGAAAAATGTATGCCAAAGCTTTTTGATCAGTTATCAGTTTAAACTTTTTCCCATGCCAAAAATGTCTCCATTTTCTTACAGCTTCAACGCTCGCCGCCGCTTCTTTTTCTAAGGCCGGATGCCTTATTCCCGACTTACCGAGTGTTCGAGAGTTAAAGGCAACCGGCCTTCCTTTTTGACTAAATATGGCTGCAACCGCAAATTTGGACGCATCGCACTCAATGACAAACGGTTCATCTTCATATATGCACCCCAAGCACGCTTTTAACAAATCAGCTTTCAATTGATTAAAAGAAGGTAAAGCTTTGCCTTTGAGGGGAAATGATGTATTAGTTGAAAGTGGCTTTAATTTTTCAGAAAATTTAGATATCCATTTCAAATAGTAGGCAAATAATACCAAGCAACGTTTCAAATCACTTCCATTTTTAGGTGGTTTAAGATTAATAAGAGTTTGTAAATGATTAGGATCTGGCCGAATTTTGCCATGTGATACCAAATGCCCAAGGAATTTCAGTTCAGTCACTGAAAATACAGACTTATTTTCATTTAATGTCAAACCTTGCCGCTCCGCAGCATTCATAAAGCTTTTAATCGTTTATCATGTTGTGGTTGACCATCTCCAAAAACTGTGACGTTATCTAAGTAAGCAAGGGTGCCTTCAAGATTTTCACGCTCAATGAAAGAGTCCATGTATCTCTGAAATACTGCCACTCCATTAGTCACTCCAAAAGGAACCTTGCAAAATTGATATGAAGAGCCAGCAGCTTCGAACCCAGTGTAAGGTTTGTCAACGTCAGAAATAGGAATTTGGTGATAAGCCGAACGTAAATCAATGGTAGGCTACTGTAAATCTTTCCTTCCTCGTTACTCCTCGGCAACCTCGTTAATTATATTTTTTATGCGAGGCAAGGGATACGCGTCCAGAGCAGTGTATCTATTCATTGTTTAAGAATAGTCAATAACAAGACGTTTTTTATGTCTTTGGTCTTTTGTGACCAATACTTGAGCGCGCTACGGTGACTCTGACCGTTCTATGATGTCTTCCCGCAACAAACGAGCAATCTCATCTTTGATGAACTTTAGATCATCGGAACTGTAGTTTCGGGACCTGTTAGCAATGGGCTTACAGTTATCGTCAACAAATCGAAAAATACGTAAAGGTTCACTTACTTTTGCGCTAGCCAAATAGCGGACCTCTTTACCAACGTACCAGGAGTCGAGGTCTCCGTTGAATTTGAAGACAACTTTTCGATGTTCGCTCAGAAAATCTTGGCCCAGTATGATGTCCGTACACAGATTTTCCACAACACCAAACTTTATTGCATCATAAACTCTCGTTCCAATCTTTAGCGGTGCGTCTACAAACACAATGGTTTGTGCAACTGATTCGTTCGAAGCAAGTACAATTACAGTTTTTGGGCCGTAGAGGGTGAGGCCAAGACTTCTTGCCACGGATGTCTTTATGTATCCCTGTGAAGCACCGGAGTCTAGCAGAGCCATCAGAGGGTTTTCCGCAATTTTAGCAGTAGTCGTCGATCGTGACAACGAAGTATGAATACCAGCCATAATTGAAGTAAGGTGCAAATCGTTTACGGTAGCTAGATAACTATCACTCACACACAAATTGTAAATTGATCCTATGGTTTGTTCCTCAAAAAATTGAATAAACACCATTACCGCGAAATATTGAGAACGGTCGAGTGTGCTAATTTTGATTTTAAATTTGAAGTCTTTCTCTACGGTAAAATTTTTTGAAATTTGTAAGATCATATACTGTATATTATGATAATTTAATTCCGTGGTAAACATTTCGTTGATTTCTTTTCGATGAACTGTTGAATTTTGACATCAAAAGCCTTCGAGACAATGTGTACTTGCTGGTGAAATGTTTTCATCATGTTTATTCTTTATTGTACAAGATGTATTTGTGCAAATCAATTATGGTTTATTCATAACTACATTTTTCTTCCTAAAAAGAACAGACACTTAGCTTAGATTTCAATTTTCTTATTTTTAAGTTTCGACGGTCAATTCAGGCTTGTTTACCGTCATATCTGGTAACACTGGTTAGAGATATTATTGTTCAGTTGATTTTGAATCATTTTCCCGGCATTTGTGGCCATTTTGTGCTATCAATTGCCGGACTCTGAGAGGTTCTGGTGCTGAGGTAAACGTGGATATATGTAATTTAGTAATCTGTGAGCGTTTAGGATGCCTTAACTTACCGTATAACACTGTCAGAACGCCAGCCCACACTCGTGTGACGCTAGCCCACACTCGTAGGATGCCAGCCCACACTCGTGTGACGCTAGCCCACACTCGTGAGACGCTAGCCCACACTCGTTTTTGACAGGCCATACCGATACTAGGGGTATCTGGTCCGTGCTTGGTATTGCATTTGCGCTGTGTATATCCAATATGGTCTCTATATTGTCATAGCCACCAAGTTTTTATGTATTAACGTTTATGAAGTGGTAAAATAGTTGGTTAACCCCTTGACGTCGGGCTGAGTGTGGGCTGGGGTAACTTTGGTGTTTTTAACTAGGTCTGTAGGTAGGTTATTACAATATTACGATATCTCTGGCGAGTTTACCTCCTCTTACTAAGTAGTCCCTGATCTATTAATTAAAATTTACAACAAATGAGAGCAGTTTTTTGTGCATTGGTTGGAGGGTAGAAGAGTTTCAAAATACCTATGCCTATGTAGCCTATCACTGTATCAAAAACACACTTCCAGACTGCTTCTTTTCTCAGGTGAATATATTTATATACCATTACAGTATATTAGCATATTATACTATAAACACAGGAGTCGAAATCTTTGCAACCCCAGCTTTTCATTCAAGAGAATTTATTGACTTGTCTGGATTTATTGAGGAAATTTGGAATTATTTGTGATGGTTTATTTGTAGAATTAGTAGGATGCTGCACAATAAGAAGATTGTAGCTGTAGTTATACTGATATGTGGTGAGTGTTCTGTTTTATATTATAACCTCAATTTATGGCAGTATTAAGGGTCATTCCAAGCAGCTGTGGGATTGAATTATTTTTTAAAAGTGTAGTGACATTAATAATTGTTTTGCGTTTTTTTATGGAAAAGGATTCTTAAATGTCATTAGATTGCATTTATTTTATCAAAAAGGTTAAATTTCACCCATCTTTAAGTGATTTGCACAAAGTGGACTGAAGTGTAGAAATTTTAATGTAACTGGCATGTTTTGTAATGACTATAACATGAAGTGTCTGATTGTCGGATAAACTCATTTAGTTTTAAATAGATGCATTGGACTTGGAATAGTATCATTGAAAATTTCCCTGTAGGGTCACAAAAAAGTGTTTTAGTTTTAGCAATGTAGACTTCAGTATTTTACAAAGAAAAATTTTGGAATGGAATCCTCCGTTCACCTTCTTTGTGTGTCAGGCAAACTAATTAACTTTGCTCATTAGTTAATGTTAACTGGCATTTCAAATTTGTCCCCCAGAGTCGCACTTTTGAGAATGCAGACATGTCCCGTAGAGTCACAAAAATCCAGGAACTGTAATTTTCAGTTTTGGATGAGCCATCTCTATGCTGTTACGTGCAGAATATGTGATGTGGAAGTAGACTGCAGTGTTTAGAAGAGTCGATATGAAATGCTTGTAGCAGTATTTTTTTCAACCAAAATATAGCAACTCATTTGACAATAATACAAAACATATTGCTGGCAATGTCAATTGTCCTGGGGAGTCACTTGGAATAGTCCAGAGTATGTGTGTGGTATGAGATCTCAACGTCATATAACTACTTTGAAAAATCAATTTAGCGTAGAAAGAAAGTGCTTCAAAATAGGGCTGTTAGAATTCTTTTATTGTCTTCTGCTCGTTTAGACCTCAACATAATTTATAGCAAACCAACATTCGGAACCTTGCAGAACACACAAATTCCACAATCTTTGTCTACCTATTGCTTTCGATGACTATTTCGCCAGACAAAGTGACATCCATACACACAAAACAAGATCAGTCTCCTCATAGCCTATATTTACCTTGTTTATCTCAATCCAAAACTCAAAATTGCTCATTAAGTGAGGGAGTAAAAATATGGGATGATATGCCAAATGAGGTGAAAATCATGCCTCACCAAAGCTTCAAAGCAAATTTATTGTCTCAGTATTTTCTTAGGCATAAACCTTTTTGTGATGTTTCTGCCCAACCATTTAATATTTCGCCACACCTGGTTCTTTATTTTGTTGCTAATTCATTCATATTTATTCTTAGTACCGCATCCAGTGCATCTGTTTTGTCGGCAATCTCCTTGATGCTTATTTATTTTCAATTCATGTCAGAAAATGTTTTGGTGGAACAAATATACATAATTTTTTTTCCCTTTCCTTGTACGAGAGATACCAGTACCAAGACGATTCTGGCTCGAATGGTTTTTTTCATATTGGCTGGAGAATAATGTCTCTCCGTTAACAAATCAAATTAATTAACTGCGTTTCTTTTCGGTCTAGCGTTCTGCAACCTGATATACTAGCATAGTTAATAAGTCCTAACACTTTTACCATCAGACCACCGCGACCTATATAAGTGGTTAGAAGGTAATTATTTCTCTAAAGGTCCAGACTTTTTTTTGGTTTAGTGTATACTATGTAATTTGTTAGGCCAGGGCTACTGAACTATTTTTACCAAAGGTTCATACACAAAAATTGAAAATTGCCGCTGTCCATTCTAAATGTGTGTCATTCTAAAAATTATATTTTATCTCTGCAAACAAAACTTTAAATGCATCGTTTAACAACAAAATAGAAGACAATGCCCATTATCACACATTGGTAAAGGTATGACAAGGCTTTAGTTGTCAAGCTAGCTGACCGCTGACTTTGCTGAATAAATGTGGAATATTCTATTGGTTGCCGGGAAGGCGAGTTTTCTTTCTAAGCAACATCAAGATATACCACGAAGTCCATATTCATAAGTCGACCTCACGTGCAATAACAAATGTATTTGTCCGTTGTTGGGGAAAGAAAGTATATTTTTTTGGGGTTTTTGCCAAGTATTTCACTCTGGGTTCTAGGTAGTACGAGCATACTGTACAACTGTTAGAGATTTTGCAAATTTGAGGTACTTGATCTATTTTTAAATTTTGAAAATACAACCTAAAACTAATGAATGGCATGCCCATTATTCCCCAGGATGTCTAAAAATCTGTAAAACAGTGTGTCCGACCGCTAAACTTTAGTTTTTACGCCATCACCATTGACACCTTGCTGAAATGCTAGGGAGCTAATCAAGTAAGTCGATTTTCGGTGAGACATGGCGTCTCAAATATTATTCAGTGGTTTAGCGGAAAATGCATTGCATCACAACTGTAAAATATTTAAAAAAAGATGATTTCAAAATCAAGAAGCAGCTGCGGTCCAAATTTGATAATCGAAAGGTCCAGATTCGGACCGCGGCCCCCAGTTGAGTAGCCCCGTGTTAGACTGTGAGTGTGGTGGACATGGGGTTTAAACCCAAGATGTTTAACCTACGATGCCAGTATGTCACATTTAAGTCCAATTCTTTACCCACTAGGCCATCGTGTGTACTTCAGTAAATTTCACTATTCCTTTTATTCAAAGCTGTTTGCCTGACAACTTCACAAGATTGTCAAGCAAGGGATGAGGCCGCTGCTATAGCAGAAGATCCGACCAGAGAGTGCAGAAAAGAATGTTTAATAAATGCGGATTGTACAGGCAACAAGTCTTGCCTGTGTGATGATAAGTGTGGATTGTCATGTTATAACCCCGGTAGGTATACTAGTTAATAACTATGTTAATAATAATAAATATGACTCGGATCTGATATAGCACGAACCAGGGATGGCCATTTCCGAATACTAAACTATTCCGAATACTTTCTAAAATAATATTTCTGAATCTGGAATTCCGAATACATTCTAAAATCAGACCTGACACATTTTTGTTTTAGTTTATTAAAACCCAGTAAAATAGGGAATAAGCTTCAATAGAAATATCAGAATGAAGCCACAAACCAACAGTATATGTACACAAAATAATTGATAGTTTATAGCTATCGAAAAAAAACTATAGCAACTTGTGACACAGTAAATTTATTGAAATTGTACACTTTGTACAATTGACTATATGATGGAGTTCTCTGACGCTTTCTGTCATTGGTACCATGATATTACAATAATAGTCAACTCTATTCACAAAAATACTACTTGTATTCAGATAATTTTGTATCAATCAAATATCCATTATGCCTTTACAAATTCTAATATATAAGCTTAGAGTATTCTACTACCCACCAGCATATTTGTATATTAATTTATGTGAACCATATTGTTATCATGTGTAGCATATTTTTATGTCTGAAATTGGCAATTAATTAGAGGATAGATGACCACCACTGCAGAACTTACACCTACCAATGCGTAAATTTTGTGTTCTTATTGGCTGCCAACAACTTAGAGATAATGCAAATGCTGACAACAACAATCTGTACAAACAAAAAATCTCGGCGCTGTGTTTATTCACATATGGTTTGTCCAATATTTTAGACCCATATGTTTCAGTCTCTTTACACAACTTGATGTAAAGTAAGCGAACAAATTAGTTACCTCCATATTGGTACACATACTTCTTGAGCGCCCATATTTCAATATTTGATTCACTATTCCCTTTTTTTAAATATTTTGCCCTGCCCTTAAAATCATTTAATAAATAATTGTAATTTGTTCAGATGCTGAATGTCCTGACTTAACCGGCACCTTGGCTAATGGAGTCGTATCGATGCCAGATGGCCGCAAATATGGCGCTAAGGCCAAGCATACTTGCAATGCTGGATATTACAGAGTAGGGATAGAAAAAAGAATTTGTAGATCTACAAGGAAATGGAGCCACGTTCAAACTAATTGCACAAGTGAGTATTTTTGGTGTAAATTCAACTATCGTGCATTCTCGCATACAAGCTGACCATCAATAAAATGAAGAATTTATTAAAAATCACATAGAAGCCGACCCTCAATAAAATGTCGAATTTACAAAAACTCGTATATAAGCCGGCCATACAAATTGTAACACGCCGTATTAGTTGTAGCTGTTGGAATTAAGTTAGCATAATGTCATTTTGTCCTAAGTGCGATGGGAGTATGCGTGTGTAGGCTGAATTTTTAGTGCGATCGAAGTTATGCACGTATAAGATGACACCTTGGCAACATGTTTTTGAGTTTTAAACTTGGCTTATATACAAGGATATACGGTACTTCAAATTTCCAGAACTTGTTTTTCCAAAAAATTTTTAGTTGTTGTAATCTGTTGGCTATAAACTCTTATCCTTGAGTCCGGTATTTCTCAATTCTCATTTTTTGTAATTGCTAGTTTTCACCACCGAAAGAAATCTTAGATAATATCACAAAGCTGTCATTAAAAATTTCAAGCGTCATAAATTTTTTTTTTTATAATAATATGAACACTGTAGCGAAAGTGTCAATGACCATACCTTGAGTCTATTTAACAGTTCAATTTTAGCGAAATCATAACAAGAATAAGTCGGATACATTATGTGGTTTTATTCTATAACATTCGTTGTATGTTTACACCGTATTAAAGTTTTGGCAACTTTTGAATTACCGTTTTATGTGTTTGTCTTATGTGTAATCCTTTTTGTACCATGACGGAGTTTAGAAAGATCCAGCTTATACCAAAGTCTGGGTACTCCCGTAGTATGTGTACCAGATTAGGGTTAGGCCATAATTTTTTCCGATTTTCCTTACCCTATTTAATTCTATTACAAGTTTGGGGACTGTCTGTGTTAGCCAAGTGAATATCCCCTGCTCATTGGTTTCAGTCCCTTCACACAACTTGATGTAAAGTAGGCGAACAAAATTAGTTCCCTTCATATTGGTACATACACTTCTGGAGCGCCTAGACTTCCTCAGTCAAACATATGGTAATTCAACTATGACTAGAGAATGCTTGTTTCAGGAAGTGTGACTTAAGTCAGAGGAAAAGCAAAACAATAAAATTTCTGGGAGTTTAATACGTTTGAACTATTCAATGTAGCCTTTACATTCTTGCTACAGTATCCTATCTTGCAATAATGACACCACTAGGTGAAAAAACTGATGAGACTGGCTAACTTAATCATATAGCGAACCACAGCTTCTTGTCTGGTTACCAGTCTACGTCAGGTATAGGGTTAGTTAGTCAGTTATTTGTTTCCAGATGTATGGACTTGATGGTGGAAGAAGCCATAGTCAACCAGCATTTACATGAACCACCCTGCAGCGGCGAAAAGTCCAGCAATCCTCTCGCACATAATTATTCCCACATGGGATTCGAACCTACGAACCCACGCAGGGTAATAAGAGGTGCGGTGGCGAGCGTATTCCTAGCGCTTAGCACAATGTGCCACACTGCCAAGTCACTCACAGTTACGCAGATGGATAGGAGAATCAGTTAAGTGTATGCAATGTTTTTAAATCACTCAATGATAATATTCTTGCGAATTGAACTAAAATCAAAAATTTGTAATAGTTAATTTAGTATGTATACACTGTAAATAATGAAAATTGATAAAATCAATGTCTATCTTATTAAAAATTCAGTATCAGCGGATTCAAATTTCCATCAATGCACAATTTGACTATTGAACATTATATGGCCCAATTAATAAGAATGCAATATCATTTTTACAAAATTTCGTTTTAGATTGTAGGCTATTTAAAGAGTGAGTTATTCCTTCAAAATGATTGAAAATGTTTTTCAATAATAAATATGATTTGTATGAATTCACAACCGTCTGTACAAAGTCCACTATTGAACAAAAGTAGGCTATAAGTTTATTTCAACTCCATAATCAGCATAATAGACTTAAAATAATTGATAAAAACAAATAAATAAAAACTGATTATGAAATCCAAAGCACAAACAAAACCTTATTAAGTAAGGCCTATAGTAGTGTACAGTATATTTAGAGTATTATATTCACTATTTCAGAATGTATTCGGAATAGTTTAATATTCGCCTTTGGCTAACACTTTTATTATTTCCTTGTTAGCATATGAAAAATAATTCCATTCTATATTTAGTCACTCCTTCACAATTCATTACACATTATGAGTAACAGCCATTACTAATAGGGAGTGTTTTGTCACATGATTTTGGTGTAATTGTAAAAAAAAATGAGTTCATTTCAAACTCTGTGTGTACAAGGGCCCACCATAGCTATTAATATTTAATGAGGGAATTTATTTGCTGAGTTGGCCATGCAGCTGTCTGCTACAATTTTATGACCTTGAGCAGAGCTTGAAATGAGCATGAAATTCTGGTGTATATTTGAATCACCATAAATGATATATTTCCCACTGGCAAAACTCAATAGTTTACTAATCTAAATCCACATTAATGGAATAGGTTATTGGTTTTGTTTATTGAATACAAGGAAATAATTTTTATAAATTTATTGACATCTTGAAATTAGGACACATTTGGGTATATTATGAAAATGAGACCTGAAAATGAAATAACACATTCTTAATTATTTTGAAATAGGACATATTCGTTGTAAGAAACTTAGTAATAATTTAATTCTGATATTTTATATTTGAAAAACATTTTTTGGAATCTTGAGTCATAATATAGTTTTGGCGGCCTTTGACATAAACCAGCCAGAGATAATTATATTTATATACATTTATTGAGATTTATTATTGTGAGCTGTTATTGTAAACATGACACACTACAATGATAAAAGATCAGGTTTTATTTATTGAAAATTATTTCGCTAAGATTTTAGCGTGTATTGTGAATACAACAGACTATAAATATTCGTAATAAAAACCATAGAAATAGCTTTGGGTTGTGCTTTCAAGTTGAAAGTTTCAATGTCCTAGGCTCGTACCGACTGAGGCTTTTATCTATTGATGCCTAGAGGCTTATAAACTCTTCTTTTGTAGCCTATTCAAGCTGGGCAAATAAAACTGCAGTGTTGTCCAAAAAAAATCTTGAAGCAAATACGAATTTCTAGCTTCCTATATAAGCTTGTTACAGACTGTATTGAACAAACGTCGAAACAGCTCGCTCAATTGAACATTCAACACAGTAAAACGAAATTACGGTAGCTCATTCCACATTTTGAGCTTTTGTGAAAATCGCATTTCGTTATTTTCACTTTGAACAACCAAACCTTAAAATAGACATAAGGCATTATCTAAAATCAAAACTAAAACAGCTACAGCTTTAAAACTCAGATCAAAAGATGGCCTTAGTTTTGTAATGGCAGATAATTAAAAATTCAATTTCTGAAGATTGTGACACAGCTAATTTGGTTTTACTTTGGCGATCTGATTATTTGTTAATATTTAGTGAGTAATAGCTCATTGATTACTAAGGTATATTCATAAAATACTTTTATATTCACAACTAATAATTTTGTTTTTAAATGTATAATATATTATTTGAGCCAATAAGTTGAACTTTAATAAGAATCTGTTTTATTAAAATTTAACACATTTGTGATATTTAATATTATCCATGTAACGGCTTCAGGTTGAAATCATTGTAAACCGTTATGTCTGATTTTCCTTTTTTTAAATTTATTCAACGATTGAAGAGTTGGCGTCGATTGGTATTTTCCCAAAGACCACAGCAGTGACCCGCCAAGGCACGAACAAAATGAAAAAAATGTCAACATATCAGTGATGAAAATAGATAAAACCAACCTTGAATTAATCCAACAAAAACTGAACTATAATAATGTACCATCAGTTGGGCAGTCAGGGCTGCGATCGCTCTTGTTCAAATTGTTAATTTCTGGGTCGGTATGGTCATTTTCAAAACCCCCAATCTTGGACGCATGTCCGCACTGCTGTGTACCGTTATTCATCTATTGGCTCTGACATTGTTTATGACATAACAATGCATTTGATGTTCATTTCTCGCAATGTTTTGTCTCTTTCGGAAGTGCATCTGCAGACTTTCAGGAGTTATATGAGAAATAGATGCTACTTTGCATTTTATCAGTTTCTTGCCTACTATGCTGTTAAGAAAACAAAATCTTTCAGACTTGAAATAAAAATCTAGAAATCTGAAATAACAGTGGGGCAGTGTAAAAGTGCTTTAATGTGGTTGAAAGCTGATCAAAAAATTCCCTTCAAACTCTTTGGAACCGTAAAATGATTTGCATCATCCTAAACTTTTTTGGTAATTCATATGTGTGTTTTCGTACTCTAATTTCATAAACCGAGTGCCATAAAAAGTCCATGATAGAAGTGCTGCATAAGTAAAGCCCAAAACTACAACAGCACCAACAGAAGCTTATAAGATTTGTTTCAGAAGTTTCTTATAGATACAAACATTGAATTAATATTTGTGACCCACTCTCTTCTGTTCCGCGATAAAAATATAATTTTTAACCCATTCATAGAAAAAGGTTCATCTCTGGTATAGACTTTCGAAAAGCTGTGCAACTGGCCGTACAAAGTAAATTAAATAAGTGGTAGCCATGATTGGCAAACCCTTTGTTGTCGAATACATTATGTAATTATCAACCCACATTCAAAGTTAATACAAATCATGCTTGAGAAGAATTGCGAAAAATGAGTTGACCCAAGAAAAAATAAAATAAGACAGCCCCCCCAAAATCATCAAAAAAATTTGGTCTAGAAACACGATCAGTCATCTGTAACTGATGACATTACTGGTTATGCTCAGCCATCTGGGGAAATGCCAGTTGCCAGAAATCTAAAAAAAATCAGTTTGCACTAGGTACTTTATATGTTATATGCATGTTTTATAGGCAAAAATAATATTGCCCACAGCTTTCATTGTTTATTTTGGCCCATTGGTACATAAAGTTTGCTGACCACTGCTTTAGATGTTAAAACTGGTTGAAACCGAAAGTCGTTTGAACTTTTATTGATTCAGTTGAGGAAACAACGATGACTTTGCGTTGTATGGATAGTGCTGGAATGTGTTTGATAATAAAATGTGCAGTCAGCCATGATGGACGAGAAAATCACATATTTATTAAGTTTTTGATTGTTATACAGGGGTGCCCATAAAGTACCTTTACAATTTCAGTTTTCTTGTAAAGTCAATTCTCAATAAATCTTGACCAGGTTTGTTGTTTTGTAATCAGTAATTGTTTGTTGAATAATAATATACACGATTTTCCGAAAACTTTTCTTGGTGGACGAATGCATTCCAAACGGATTGCGCCAGCGATTTTTATTTCATTTAGTACATCTGTAAGGGCCTAAACAATATATAGTATCGATAAATTCCATTTGCAATTTAAATTTTTTTAAGACTTTATGGACACCGTATATAATATAATGAGTGTATACACCTAATAGTGAAGTCATTCCTTTATTGAACCAAAAAATACTTGATGTGAGAAGATTCTGACCCAGGTCACTCTTGGTCAGGGATATTCATTCCCTTATATAAAGAGTGTTTGTACATTCAAGCTTGATAATTGCGTCTTATAAGTTTATCATTCGTGCGGCGGTGTGGCTTAACGGGCTAAGCCGAGAGGCCGTGGTTCGCCATATGGATAAGCCATCTTATCGGCTTTCCTCTCCCCCGGGATAAATATGTAAATCCTATCCTCCTATCCTATCCTATAGGTTGTTATGTAATTTGGTCTCTCCTGCCCCTATTAAGTTTGTCTGTAATAGACATTTGAAATGAGTTTGTTTTGTATTGATAAGAAAAAGTTTGATAAAGAATAGGCATTCAGATGTGATGGACGAGAAAAGCTGAATTTTGAAAATTTTCTGTTTGCCGGACAAGGAAATTCATGCCCTTATTATACAAAGAGTGTTTGTACCTTTGAGATAATGGTTCAATTGCATTGATTTCTCCTTCCCTGATAAAGTTTGTCTGTAATAGACATTTTAAATGACTTTACATTGTATGAACAGGAATAACAGGAATACTTTTGAAAACTGCTGAATTTTATTATTTTCAGTTCGACCCCCGAAACCTCCCTCTTTCCTGGCTATGCCACTGGGTCTGGAAACCAAAGATATTGTGGTTCGCTCTATGCTTAAGCCATCTTGCCGACTATCTATACCAAAGAATCATTTCCTTTCGGCATTGACTGCCCAATATATTACACCAAGAGTGCGGCGGTATGGAATTTGTAGCCTGCAATTTCTATTTCCCAGGGACCTGTCTTATACCCTGAGTTAGGTGGAAAGCATTTCAACTAGAATGTTATTTTATCTTTCAGGAGGCTGTGATCTACCTCCAACCGTTGATGGCGCCTATGCTGACACAGATACTGACATTCTTGGCTATCAACCTGGGCAAACGGTCACGTACAAATGCAACACAGGTACATATTCTGAGTTTTTATTCCCTATTTAGCGATTTTCTTGAAGACATGTCATGAGCACTCGTATAGTATAACTCAAGTACTGTATTTGCTCGTTTTGTACCCCGGGCCCATATTTTTTTAACCAAACTCACTAACCGGGCCCTTTTTCAAACCGGCCCTTATTCAAGCACGGGCGCTTGAATTAGAAATGAACTACATGCGTGACTCAATCTGATCCAGCCTGTGTGATGTCATAATTGGAACAGTATTGAATGATCCGTGATGTTTGTCAAGTCACATATAGATAAGATCGATCGTTACAATAATTATTACATGGCATTTCCAGTTCTCAAGTATGATTTGAACGAGAATAACGAAAATTTTGACTTTCTCCACGCACTGCAGGTACAAATCCGCAAAAGAAGAAAAGTTTTGCGACGCCCTATCAATATTGAAATGACTCACTTGGGCGTTGCGCTGCCCAGTATGAAAACCACGGTGTTGCATAATCAATGCTATCTGTTATGTAATTGGACGCCTAAGGTGTGAGTGTTATCTACCAGCGCTTAAAATTCAACAGCGTTGTGACAAAAGCGCTTCTTATTTCCTATTGTTCTCTACCACTGAAAAATCAGCTTTTACATCGGGCTGGTATTCAAGCACCGGCTCTTATTTATTTTTATGTTTTGTTCACACGGACGGCTATTCAAATGGGCCCTTAATCAAGATCGGGCGGTAAAACGAGCATATAAGATGGAAACTCATATTTGAGCAAAGAGCGTAAAGTTTTTAGGTAATTTGCGGAAAGGAAAGTCATTTTCTCTCATTCAGAAGTAAAGAAACTCATTCCTGAGCAAAGTTACATACAGCGACTCAAGGTCTACTGTACTTCCCGCGCCGTGCCACGGTTTTGCACAACTAATTCATTTTTATACAATTTAATATGGTTTTTTCGTTGTCAAAATCTTTCAATAGTGTTAATGTTGGCACTTGCGAGAGAAGTGAAAGAGGAAAACTGTATTTCATTACAATTAATTATTATCGCTAAAACATTAAATACGTTTCAAGTTGTTATGAACAATTTTCACCGATGGACGTATCTTCTCACGTTATGGATTTCGTGCAAGGCCCAGCATAATTTGCGGACAAAGATCAAAGCATTTACTATGTCGAAACGCTTATTCGACTTTTCATGCCACAGAAACTATCTAAAAAAGATACCCCTCCCCCTTCTGAATTTTTTTGAAAACTGAAAAAGTCGCCAATAACGTGTGCAATTCCCTTTTGCTAAAATCGCTGATTGTTTTCATCTGATATTTAGGCCGTAACCGCCTTTCCGTTGGCGTTTATTCTCTCTAAATATGTGAAATATTTGTGACACGATGACAATGATAATTATTTTATTTTTGTGCTAGCACGGACTTATGAACCCGGCGAGAATTCCTATAAGTTCATCGGCGGTGAGATTCTAAAGACAAATGAAGGAGTAAAATCGGAGACCTATATTTTTTGATTGAAAAGCGGAAATATAAAATACTAAAAATAAAACTGTAAACAATATAAGTTTTGTTGAGGGCCGCGACAGTCTAAAAACGCTTTTCTAGGCATCGAAAATCGCAATATTTCGTGTGCCTAAGGCACAAATTGTGTTTGGTTGGTCGTCACTAAAATCGAAACACAGTTAATTGTGAACGGATTTGCCTTTTTATCCATTACTTTTAAATTGACGTCGAAAATTTTCGAGTTAACATTAAACAAGGCTGAGAAACGAGACTTTTTCCCGATTTGTGATGATATATAAGATAATTGAAGTATTTTCGATCAATTTTTATTGTACTGAAATAAATTTTGTACGTGAGAATTGACAGAAAATTTACGGATTTTTCGAAAGGTTTTATCTTGAAAAATAATCGGAATGACAACATTGCGATTGAGCGGAGCCAGTGTTACAAGTACATCTCAAATTTATCGAATTCGCAAAATAGCAAAAATACGGATCAAAACAATACATAAACGGGCAGTTTACCACACATTTTTATGTCCGCGGATTGCCGTGGTGTTTTAGAGTGGCTCTTGACGCAACCACAATTTAAATTGAAGACAATTAAATTAATAAATCAAGATATCAGAGTCATTTTAAATATGCCCGTATCGGTCTTTGATGATTACTTTGCACAAGTGAAAAATCTTTTTTCGTTGAAAAAGTCGGCTCTTTTAACGAGTGGCATAATTGCGGCGACTGGAATTGTTATGTGGCGATACACGGCGCGGTGTTTTTCGGTAGGCGATCCAAGTTCGCCCCCCCCCCAAAATTATGGAAAGTGTCCGCCCCTGGTAAAAAGTAACATTTTATGAACAATATTCACAGTGTTACAAAAGAAAAAGTGGAAAACAATATGCCTCGTGCCAAAACTAAAAATTTAACCGCAATCTCAACATGAGCTATTATTAGCTAAAATATCCAAATTCGATTCAGGTTTGGTTGTTGCAACATCAGGCGGGCCAGATTGAATTACCCAACGGGCCGTATTTTGGCCACGTCTTATCTATAATCTGTGTCACTAAATCCATCAATTTTTAATAAAGGGTACGAGGGACAGAAAATGCTGCCTGAAGCATATTAAATGATTTTCACTTCGAACAAGGCTTTGTATAAGACGCCACTGATATATAATGAGCTAATGTTTTAATAAAATGCCAGAAATCTTTCCGGGCGCTATCTGCATAATTTATTACTTATCGATTTTAATCGTATTTGGTATTAAGGTATTTGTCTGTATGTCTGTCTGCCTGTCTGTTAGATGCACGCGATATCTCACGAAAGCGAGATTGAATCTGCTCCTGATTTTGCATGTGCATTCATCATATGTCGGACCAGGAGCCTTTTGATTTTGGGCGAATTATGTCGTATAGTTAGCGAGTTATTAATTAATTAGTGATGGGACAAAAGGTGTCACTGTGGAGTAAGAGCGCTGTTTTGGGGATCCCCTAACTTTCGATCGATAAGTCTTCGGTTTCTGACCGATATTCTTGTTACACTCTTGGTCCCTATCACTAAATCAATCTCTTTTTAAAGGTTACGAGGGGGGAGGGAACTTTATGATCAATTGTCAAACTGATTATGAGTGGTCGCCTGTCAATTTTTATTGCCAAAGAAAGAATTGTGGAGCCCCTGAAACAATTTCTAATGGTGCCTACACAGGAACGAGTTTCTTATTCGGCGATTCTATTACTTATTATTGTAACACAGGTGAGGATTCATCTTATTTCAATAGGCCTACATTTCATTTTTCACTCCTTCACTGGCATTAAATGTATCTTTATTGTATTTCTGGCAACTAGCATTTTCTCAGATGGCTGAGCATGATCTGTGATGTCATCAGTCACAGATGACTGATCATGACCAACCAGCTGTGAAGGTGAAGTAGTCTTGTGCTCTTATGTAATTGAGAGCTCATTCCTGTTGATGTGTCTTGGGACTCGTTGGGAGTTAGTTGATTATGTTTATGGGCATTTACTAATTTACATTTATACTGAGTTAACACCCAGTCCAAAATGACAGAATGTTAAAAGAAGTAATTTCTCATAATTTGGCATTAGAAATTTGGTTTTACTGCAGATTCTGCTTTTCTGATAGACTTTGCCTTTTCAACTTCTTGTTACTGGATGCGTACTTCCTGCCATAGTTTCTTTGAAAAAATTACAGCCCGACATGATTGTGTTCATCATTGTTTTAGACAGGAATTTCTGATGAGTCATAATTTGCATGATGATTTTGCTGAGTATTAAATTTATTTATGGTTGAATTGAAACGGAATTTACCTATAAATGTATCTACCACTAATAAATAGATTTCATGATAAGCTTGCACATCTATGATATATTAAGCTTGAACAAAAGTACCCGATATTATAGTGTTTACATATTTATCCTGGAAAACCACGGCCTGTTGTCCGGTTACCAGTCTATGTAGGGTATTAAATTAGTTAGGTATTTTGTTTTCGGAAGCATTGACTTGATGGTGGAGGAAGCTGTAATCGACCAGTATTCATGATTGTTTCAGAACTGCTGGATTAGAAACTGGATAGGATTTCACTCAATATATTTTTACTCATACACAAAACTATTATTTTTCAGGATATGACATCTCGGGTACAGCGACTCGGAAATGTATGGCTGATGCAAAATGGTTACCTGAGGAAGCCCCGCCAACTTGCAAGAGTAAGTCCATGTTTGATGTGCTAATCTGGCAGGTCCTATGTTGCAGGTTCTTTTTAGACCACCCTAATAAATAGAATGGAATAGGCCAGCAGTCCCAAACTAAGGAATCTTGTTGGGTCGTGAAAAGATGTAGAAAGCTTTGATTAAATATACTGGTTATAAGGATCGGTGGCGACTCGAATACGTAAATCTTCCAAAAAAAACAAAATAAATTAAATTGAATTTGAATTCTAATCTGTGAAAGTTTCCTTTTTATGATCTTCTCAAAGAAATAAAAATTTGCTACACAAAGAATGACCATGTGGCTCTTTTACGCATAGCAGTTTTGTACACTGTACAGCACTTCTTACCGTATTTCCCCGAAATTTAGACAGGATTAAGATTTATTGTCTTTTGAAGAATAACGCTATGTTTTTTTTGGAAGAGGTCTTTTGTGTTCATTTATCAAAAATAACATTACATTGTAGAAAATCACGAGATTTTTTAATAAACATTATATAAAAACCAACATCCATTGGTTTTATTTATTTTTCCTATACAAAAATCATGTGACAAATATCATAATTGTGATTGTGACATCACACAATCTTGAATAGTGATGTGATCTTCACCTCAGGTCATTGAACCTTTCCTCTTCCACACATTTTAAATTTATTTTAAGGGTATAGAGTTTAATTAAAATCCTTTTTAAAATTCACATTAGGTCTTATTTTCAGGCCAGGTCTTATTTTCGTTTCCTCCATCAATGTTTTATTTGTTAAGTTAAAGTTAAATGGGTCGCCATAAGCTGTGGTAATAAATAGTGGGTGCTAACTCTAAAAATTTTGGGAACCACTGGAATAGGCTATTTAGTGTTCTATAATATTGAATATTGTAACATTGTAATGGGAGGTGTCTTTCTGCGCACTTACACAAATATATTTTCCCTTGACTTATCCGTCTATGCTTTTGGGTTGTTGGGTGTGTATGTAATAATGCTGTAGAAAGAGTGAAAATAACTTGTCTAAGGGATTCTAAAGTCTCCCAAGACACTGACATATATATCTGTATATTTCTGTAAGACCAGATACTTTTGCTATGCTTATGTGCTGATAGATTCGTATGCGTATGATACAATGATGTTATATATTACTGTAATGACAAAGAAGGGGCCATGAGTTCTAAAAGCCCCTGGGAGGGGGCCACAAGCTATATAAAAGGCTGGGGACCACTGTCATAAAGGATGACTATTCTATGGGATCCAAGAGTCCTGCCGCACACTAACACAAATACATGATCAGACGAAACGTTGCAGAAATATACAGGGTGGCCCAAAAGTAGGTATACAGTTATTTTATTTATTTTTTATTACCTTTCAAGCAGCTAGAAAACTAATATAAAATTCACACTAGATTTGTTATCTAAAAAAATAAGCAATTTTTTGTGGTACTTATTAATAAGTAACTTAAAGTGAACTGCAAGTAGCTTCAGAGCATATAAAATAGTTTAACAACTGTATACCTACTTTTGGGCCACCCTGTATATTTCTATAACGTTTCGTCTGACCATGGTGTGACTTCCCAAGAAATTATCTTTACTCCTGCTACAGCATCCTTGCATTATACGCATACAGACCTCCAGCACAAGACCATAATAAAAAGATTCTTGGATTATATGCACACGGCTCCACCAGTGCATAAGCATAGGAGGATAAGTAGTTGGTCCTGCAAGAAATATATTTGTGCATCGAGATTCATGATTCACTTAGAATAGCATTCACCCTTGCAAAGCACAAAAATATTGCAAAAGGATAAGTTGTTGTCACCTCAGATATATACCTGTGCTAGTGTGTAGCAAGACTCGTGAATGGCTTAGTATAAGTATAGTCATTTTTACTCTTGCTACAGCATCCTTGCATTAGCTAGTGGTTCCCAATCGAAAGGGCCGTGGCCCACCAAAGGCAGTTGGAGGAGGGCCACCATGCTATGCGCAATACTGATTTCACTTTTACTAGAAAATTCTCCGTTCTTCCTAGTTTCATTGCTTATTTCACAGGGTGTTTTCACTTTGTTAGAGCAAGAATTGTTTGAACATAATAGGATTTGGAATCTATCAATCAAAGTAACACTATAAATACCACTGGAATGATAAACAGGGGGAACATGAGTGCTAAAAGCTTCAGTAAGGGGAGCCACAAGATATAGATGTTCGGGGAACACTGCATTATGGGTATATGCTTATGAATCTACCGGTGCAAAAGCATAGCGGATGGATTCATAATTGGCCCCATTGATACTCAATTATTAATTTGATAAAACTCCTAGTTTTTAAACTAATTTGGAAAAGATTGATTTGAAAAATTATCATTTCAGTTTAATTCAACTCTGTATGACATTCAATTTAATTATTTTAACATTCAGTTGGAATTTCGGTAATCCCGTAGTATGTGTACTCGTTAAGGTTAGGCCATGATTTTATTTTGTTTTTCCTTATTTTAGTTTTATTACGAGATCGGGACTGTCTGTGTTAGTCAAGTGAATATACCCCCTGCCCATAGGTTTTTGTCCCTTAACACAACTTGATATAAAGTAGGCAAAGAAAATTAGTTACCTCCTTATTGATACACATACTTCTGGAGCGCCGGAATTTCAAGGGAATTACTCATTTTAAACATCCAAGAGCCTGTGACCTTGCTCTGAACAAACTTTCAATAATGAATTTGTCTCCTTTGGGGGTCGTTTGCGTAAATATTTTGTTTGTGAAACAATTGAGAATGGAACAGTTCTTTGAACACAAACTGTGACTCATGCTGACGTCACATAATTGTAGGAGACAAATTCTAATATTTGCTGTCTGATGCTTTTTGGTAGAGGAAATACATTGTGTTCGTAGAGTCATAAAGTTTTTCAAATTGAAAGAGAATTTATCGATATTGTATATTTTTTGTTTGCCCTTACAGCTGTATTAAATGAAGGAAGCTTGTTGGAAAAAATAAAACAAACCTGATTAAGATATATTGAGAACTGACTTCATACAAAGTGAAAATTGTAACAAGACTTTATGAACAGTGATGTCCAAATTGAATCAAATATTTTGGGGAAATCAGAATTAATAAATACATTTTTTTTCAAATCTTTGATTTCGAGAATAACATAGAATTGTTACTTTTTAGTTGCATCTGAAAATTGGCTAATATTTTGCTAGCTATTCATGAGTCCCACCAGAAAGCAGCTGTATTTGTGTTGTAATGTCGTCTTATAAAAGCTGTTACAACTTTATCTATTATTTGAAAAACCACAACAATTCGTTATAGTAATTATCCAAGCTATTTTCATAATATATCAAATTTCTCAGAATATAATTCCAAATACATATCTGTCAACTAGGTCATAAATTTCCTTGTCTTGACAACGAAACTCGTTTCTATGTACTCAGGATACTTTACGCAACAAAATGACAAACATCACTATCAACGTCAATATTATGATTTATAAGGGCTGTTGCTTCTAAAGTCATTAAACAAATTCAGACTGTCATAACAAGTTTCGTCTGAGAAAACATTCTGAATCGCCAATAATATCTAGAGACGGTCATGAAAGAATAGTTCTAGAATATTTCTGAATAATAACCGTTGTTTTTTTAAGTTTTTGTTTGAATTCAGACTTTGATAACAATTTTATCTGAGAAAACATTTTTAATTTCTAGTAATGTCTAGAGAGGCTTATTACTGAATAGTTCCATAACTCTATCTTCGGATTGATCTAGACCAGTGGTTCCCAAACTTTTTAGAGTTGGGACTATTTATTACCACAGCTTATGGCGACCCATTTGACTTTTTATGACATAACACAGAACACAGCAATGGCTATATCTTATCTAAAGAAATGTAAATATCCAAAATAAGTCGGGCAAGATCAAATCCAACAAATATTTTTTTTTTCTAATTAGCTTCGCGCTCCCTCAAAAAGTTATATCTACAGCCCCTTGTGTGGCGCGCCCACTGTTTGATAATCACTGATAATGTTTGTTTGAACTAAGATTGCACCACTTCTTCCTCGTTATACAAAGTCAACACTCAATTCCACGAAATGTTGACTCAATAAATATCGTCTCTTAAGTGTTTACTAGTGTAAGTGCGCATGGTAGTTAAAGGCATTAGACTTAAGTATGTTGGTATTAAAAGTAGAAAAACTCAGGTTAGGATTTACTGCCTCACGATCTCACCCCTGTTGCATAAGCGTAGATTACATACATATTTGATTATATTAAAACAATTCAAATATTATACCAGGGCTACTCAAGTATTTTTACCGAAGATCCGCATACAAAACTTCAAAATAATTTGGGTCCGGTCCTTCCAGAAATTATATTTCGGCATCCTTAAACGCACACTTCCTCAGCCAGCTAATGATTATTAGCTAATTAAGATTGTCTATTATGGGATTATAGTTCTTTTCATATATATTCAAAACTATAAATGTCATTTTATAAAAGAAAACTTCAAAAAAGTGCTAATGATTCAAAAAAAGAATTAGATGCAGTCCATATCAAATACTCGAAAAGTCGGGATTCGGACCGCGGTCCGCCAGTTGAGTAGCCCTGATATAGACTTTGGGGTTTGAATGGAAACCTGTGGAACCCATGAAACAACACTGAATAATATAGTCTGTATTCCTACCCAATTGAAAAACGCTTCTATGACTTATTTTATTTTTTATTACAGTACTCACTTGTCCAGCACCTAAAAGCTCCGGACAACGGGAGAGTATTTGAGATTTAATTCAATTCTGAATTCATCGAGTATTTAAAAGTGGCCAGCCCTGTAATTTACCCACTAACGCTTTGACGACTTTTTACTTTCTGTTACAGTACGTACTTGTCCTGCACCCAAAGCGCCTGAACACGGGACTGTGGACACATCGACCGCACCTGACTTGGAGTATAATCAGATTGTGACTTATAAATGCGACACAGGTTATAAAATGCAAGGCTCTAACACCGGAACTTGCGACGAAAATGGAAGCTGGGGGGCTTTACCAACATGTTTAGGTAAGTGTTCTTCAAACTGCCATGATCTTATCAAACTGTATAATTTTTTTTTCATTGTTTTACGTTGTTCTTTCCTGCAAATTACAAAATAAATGATGACTGTGATCTATGTCCTTTATTGAGACTTTTCATAGTCGGCCACCCTAGTACGCAACAACAGTTTCGCCGAAAGCACATTGCAAGAGTGTACGAGTGCATCCTTCGCAGAAAACATTGCGTACCGATAGAGAATTTTAGCCTATTTTATCACAGCTATATCTAGACTAATTTTTGATTATTGGAATTAAACTACAACTTCTAAGAAGGCAAAATGATGATTCATACTTGAATTTCCGAAACACACCAAAAAACTGATGAATAGCATTCAAAATCGTGAAAACGAGGTATCGTTTACAACCAATCGTTACATCAAACTGCCCCCCTTTTTCCCCCTATCTGAATAAATTTGCGTACCCAGAAAAATTTACGACTAATTCAGACTCATATTAAATTTAAAAAGTATGTGGAGGAAATGTAAATATCCAAAATAAGGTAATAAGCAAGATCAAAACTAACAAATAATTTTATTTTTATCAAGTTTCACGTCCCCTCCAAATATTGTCTATGCCCCTTGTGGAGCATGCCGTGCTGTTTGAGAACCACTGTTCTAGAAAAGGGTTTCCCAAACTGGGGTCTTCGGACCCCTGGGAGTCCACGACGATAAGAAAAGAGGGGGCTCCCGAAGTATGCGAACCAAGATGGAGGACATCGGAATGTAATTTGTGTACTAGGTTAGGGTTAGGCCATAATTTTAGATATAAATACTACGGGAGGCTCTTGGCTAGTCTTCGAACTGATAATAGGACTAAAATAAGGAGAATTGGATTATTATCGCCTAACCCTAACCTGTTACCCATGTTACGTTCCGATGTCTGCCATCTTGGTTCGCATACTTCGGGAGCACTGAAAAGAGTCTGAAACATAAACAAATAAATCATGATCTTATTAATATGCCGTTGACCTGCCAGTATTCAAAGTAGGTATGTAACGGCTCAGACGTTCATGAGTTTTATTTCGTCTATGGAAACATTATTTTTCCTTGTTGGCACAAAAATTGATACGACTTGAGATGGGGGTTCGTTAATATTAGATTCACACACAGTGGTCTGCGGCCCGAAAAGTTTGAGAAATCCTGTTCTAGAGTGTTCATTTTGAGCTTCATGTATGCTGGACCTCCGAAGAATGACCTAAAATTTCTCCCCTTTTTCAGTCGCTATTGAATGTGGTTTTGAAGAATTAGCCACTTCTACATGTGGCTACACGGTTGTGAGTGGAACGTTTACTAGAACATACAGAGATGCGGACGGTACGGGCTTCCCAGGTATAGTTTTATATTAATCAATGACTTGTTTTTTTTTTTTTTTTGATGAAAGTTTCCCAAAGCAAGCTAACATGTACTTACTCTTAAATAAAGGAGACTCATCTTTGAGCAAAGTTGCAGATGACAACTCAATTGCACAGAGCTTTAGAAATTATAAAGTAACTATGGTAACTAATTTTATAGAAATATGGTGCTGGATTATGTGCACTCAGAGAATACTGATCTCTTGTGTTCGCTTAAATGAAAACAGTTACTGAAACTGTGTAGAATTATCATGGTGAATTATGTGCTTTCACTTAGATGAGACTTTTCTTTGAGCGAAATTATGAGTTGCCACTGAGATGCAGAGAAGCAGTAAGACTATAAATCTCATTATTGCTATCAATTTATAACCAAGTGTAAATTCTGTTTACTACTACCGCATTACCGAATTCCAGATTGGCAATTTTTAGAATGTATTCAGAATAGTCTAGTATTCAGTTATCGCAATCCCTTTTTATGAGTGAGTCCACGTGGCTTCGCTCATTAAATAGCAATTCTTTTATTTCCGATACATTTCAGGCTATGCACTCGTTGGTAATGGTACAATCCGCTCCGGGGCCTTGCCTTTGGCTGGGAATGATGAACAATGCATGAGTGTCGACATAAAAGGCGTAGACGATGGCGAACTGGTAGCTTACGCATATAATGGAGCAGAAACGTGAGTAGATGGGATAAGGTTTTTATATTTATCCAGGGGGAGAAGAAAGATGAGAAGACGCCTAATTTCATATACCGGTCCATGTTGGTTATGGGATTATTTAGCCAGGAATTTGTTTTCAGATGTATGGAAATATTTAGAATACTGGAAGTTTTTTTTTAAATTGCCGATTGTTTTCGTCAGCGCGAGGTGTTATTTAGATCGTAAACACCTTCTTTAAGTCGGAGATTATTCTCCTCAAATCACATATTTCCCTTAACATATATATGTCTTGTATACGGAATTGTGAAACCATTAAGAAATAGTTATTCGGCGACTAGATGCTAAAGATAAAGAAAGAAGTGCATCTGCAAGCAACCTGAATCTAGATTTTAGAGCGGCAATATAAAATACTAAATCTGGACAGAAACAAGTTTGATTTAGAAGGCTCACAACACATTAAAAACGCTGTTGCAGAAGTTGAAACCCATTTTAATTGGATGGCTTTCGTGCGCCGATGTACCCCATCATCAATTCTAAAATTAAAGTAAATTCAACCGATTTTCATGGTACTAAAATTAATTTATCTTGGAGTGGTTTTACCGCAGACGTAGGGATTTTTCCAATGGTAAATTCTATAAAATAGAGCCAAGTCAGTATTGCAAGAACAAATCCCATTTATCGAATTCGCAAAACACGAATAAAAGTAATCTGACACTTTACCTCACATTTTTATGTCTGCAGAATGCGGTTGTATTTCAGAGTAGAAATGCCTATATTTTGTCAAAGCAATCGCGGGTTAAGTTAAAAAAAATAATATAGCAAGACATTTTATTGTGCCCATATCAATGCATTTTAAATATACCCGTATCGCAAAAATAGGTATCAAAACTAAGTATATTCCGGCAGTTAATCTCACATTTTTATATCCGCAGATAGCCGTTGTATTTCAAAGCAGTGCATCCCAAACTTTTAAGCTCGCAACGTGACCCCTGTTCACGTTAAAAATGCTCCGATGACCGCAAAGTTATATGAATCACCATGTTTGGCCATGGAAAGCATGATCCTAATTACGCATTGTTACTCACCCCTCAGCATTAATGATAAAATTCGCATGCGAGCCGTTTCTCTGAACCTATGTAACGTCTCGAAATCGAGATATTTATGTTTTGAACTAGTTTTAATACTTGTGCTTTAAATAAAAATTTTAACGAAGTACAATATGTATAGTGCTTTGTTTTTTTTAAAATGTGTGATAAAATACATTGAAAACGCGCAATCGACTTCACTTAGTCTGGCCTGCCATTGCATTTTGAATATTCAATGTAGCCCGTTAGCAAAAATACTTGCCCAGCCCTGGACTAGATTGTGGAGGAAGCCATAATTAACCAGTGGTCACGGGAACCATCCTGCCCCAATTGTCTGTTATTAAGAACATATCTAATAAAATTCAAGGTCCATTACTGAAGTTGGAATTTGTTTGTTTTGCCAAATATCTGTTGCTTAACGTGTTTGGTTCTTTTGAACAAGGTCATGTGCTAGCAAATATCCAATTACTTTGATATTCTTCGACTCGATGTACAATTACCCTGAGAGTTATAATGATTTAGTTGTTAGCATTAGAATTATTAAATGCAAGTAAATACCGATTGTAATGTGACTTGAATCAGTTCATGGTTTGGAAAAGAGATACAGTGATGGAATTCCAATTACAGATCCTTATACATTCTATATATTTCAGAGAAGCAATTTGGCCATTTTCTGCCTCAACCAATTGGAAAACTGAGAAATTTAAGTTGAAAAAAGTTAAGTCTGCGGACACTGAGGTTTGTAAGAATATACTTTACAGAAAAAGATGTTTTGAAGTCGGGATCTCAATCTACATAGTACAAATTTGTCAAGCTTTTCGCTGTGGCATAGCCTGATGGCTTTGTCAGGCATAGCGAACTATCATCGCATATCTTTTTTTCCACTTTTGTAAAATAATAGCAACAGACTATGTTATAATGAAAGTTTTATGCCGTTTTATGTTACAGTTTCTCTAAAAAAAACTATTTTCACAAAACCACAATTTATATATTTTTTATGATTTTTCTTCAAGCTTCAGGGCGTAATCATTTAAAAAATAATAATTAGAAGCCAGGAACGGAAATTTTCTTATACTTACTCATAACTCAGATAATTTGAAATTTCGACTCTGTGGTCAAAAGGAGATCTTGACGAAAAATGTTGGAAACCACTACTATAGCGTATGAAAAATAATTGTCTGCTGAGAATGCTCAGATAATTCAACCTAACGCTTTTTGATTTCTCGTCAGAAATTTCAATCTTAGAAACCCTAAATTCTATGGAGGATTTGAAATTTCGACTTCTAACCAGTGTCGTATCTATGGTCGTGCAAGGGGCACAAAAAAACGAAAAGTTCCAATCATGAAATGTTTCAATAAAATAATTTCAGATTGGAAAGAACTGAAATTCATATTTTTACTTAGATAATACCGTACAAGTATCTCAATTCAACAACAGTCGTTAAAAATTTAACAATCAAGTTTTTAAACTTTGCCATGGACGCCATTTTACGACTGTCACTGCTCCCAACTCCTGAGAGTTTGGGATATATCATGTATCCATTATCAAACATATCTAAACTCTCACTCCAGATTTACCTCAGACCATAGTTTTCTCTAAGGTGCCATAGCGCAGTACCACCAAAACATCTTTGAAGTAAAATTTCATTCCTGCACACTTACAGTATTAGCTACGTTTCGAAGTGTAGTTTGTCAAATTTTTTACCGCCCGATAATGAATCAGCTATATATCAAAAATGAACATATATAAAGTGTATAAACATAAAAATTTATTATAAATAAATGTACATTCTGATAATATATTATACATTTATATTATTGTACTTTTTACAAAATTTGTAAATCATTTAGGACTCTGCTAACTCAGCCCTGAAATATTCATGCTCACTATAACAAACATTAGCTCAGAGTAAAATTTTCTTAGAGGGAACACTCAAACTTCACTTATGGAAGTTCGACTTGAAAGTAATTCCTTTTCTCTTACTTATGCTCCTCCATGGCGAGGCATCATAAAAGAAATTATTTCGCTATTTAGGTCTTTTTTCTGTAACTCTAGGTACAACTTGAACTTGTGGCAACGGGGGATGTGGAATTGGACAACATCAAGACTTTGTCCTCTTCGGACTGTGATGGTCTAGGTAAGCATTAGGTTTTATTTAATCATTGGCCTAATAGTTAAAGTGTTAATCTTGGACTGTCGGTGTCATAAGTTGGAGATTTCACATTCAAATCTCATGCCTTTGTTGCGGGCCCATCCCCGGTACCAAGGGCATAACTAAGAGGGTTTAAGCGTTGGAACCCATTTTTGAAATGTTAAAAAGGCATTTTTCTGTATCATAAATAGTAGTTTTTTTGGGGTTTGAACAATTATTAGACCCTCAAAACACTTGAACACCTGTGTTCTCTTGTCGGGACCCGCTATCTGTCCAACTTGGCAACTAAAAATGTCAGAAACCTTTTTTTTTTAAATTCTGGCTACACCTCTGAATGATATGCCTACCACCTCATCCAGGGTGTATTAAATTGAGAAGGCGATGCTGGGCCTGAATGATTTCAGTTTATCCAAAATGAACCAACTTTCAGCATAGCAGTGGAAGCTTGGGCGCTCCCGTAGTATGTGAACCAAGATAGCGGACACCGGGACACCGGCCATAATTTTATTCCAGTTTCCTTATTTTACTTCTATTATGAGTCCAGGGACTAGCCAAGTGACTCTCGTAGTATTTGTACCTGAAATTATTGCCCTAACCCTAACCTGGTGCTAACACATACTATGTCCTGGTGTCCTCCATCTTGGTTTACATACTACATGAGTACCAAACTTTTAATACTCATGCAAATGTTTTCCCTCCTATTCCCGCCTATTAAAAATTACTATGGTTATTGAAAAATTTAGTTTCATTCGTGTCATTATAGTTAAATTTTGATCATAGTAACAATGAATGATGCTGCTGCTTTTTGTTCTAATTCTTAAAGCGAAAGTATTTATTTTTGCAAACAGAATCTTGTTTTTCTTGTAGTTTTTCCTTGGATGAGAAAGTTAGTGGGTCACCGAATTTTTATGCGACGAAAGTGGGCCACGAAAGAAAAAAGGTTGAGAACCACTGAGCTATCGGGTTCGACTGGAGCCCAGAAAAATTTGAATTTCAATGGTCTCGGGGGTTCAAAAAAATGTTTCAAGCTTGCAAATCGCTATGTGTGATACCGAAAATGCTTTTTTGATTTAAATTTCAAAAGATGGGGTTTCGACCCACAAAATCACCCCCATGGGTACACCTCTGGCTCCCTCATATTTGTAAAATTTCATGTATCACTGCCCGCTCAAACAGAAATTTATTTGGAGTGAAAATGTGAAAACGCCTTCAAAAATCAGTAAAATGTGTGAAAAATTGTCAAACCAGAAATAATCGCAGAAATATGTGTTCTTGGTACCGTATGCTAAATTTAATTTTTTTTGTTCGCTTTTCACAGATACACCATGTGCTAAACAAACTCTCGACCACGGAAAAGTTGATCCTGAGAAAGACTTGTATATCAAGGATGAGGCGGTCACTTACTTATGCGACGATACTTACACCTTGGAAGGGGGGTCGACAGGAACATGCAAAGCTGACGGTTCTTGGTCTACAACACCAGTTTGCAAACCAAGTAAGATGTTTTTTCTGTGTGGGATTTTTTTGCATGGTGTGAGAATTTTTTATATAGTAACTTAATTTAAGTAAAAAAAAGCAAGTTTTTATTTGCACTCGGTATTTTTGTGAAACGGTTTCGCAAATCGCTCATGTGTGAAAAGACAGAATATACCTCTTGTAAAATGGCTTCATTTATTCTGGCAAAGTTTTATTCTCACATATCCTCATTTTTTTTTAAAACTGTAGTTCTACTGATGCCAGCTTTCCAAATATTAATGTAATGTATACTCATCTACCAAATGCTAACAGAAATAGATTTCTAACATATTATAAAGGCTTCGTTTAGACGGCTAATAATAGAGGCGTTGTTCTTACCACTTCATAGCAGCTCCTGCCACGAACGAACCGATAGCATCTCTTGTCATGGTTATGGCGCTATTACCGGTATATTCACAAAGTCATGTACCAGATTTTAGTTTATCATGCGGAATTATATCTACTTAACCTGAATCCATAAGAAAAATGTTCCAACTTACCCAATATTATCACCGACATGCCTTGGTTACGGCAGCAAAATTTTACCCGCCTCTGGTTTCCAATTTGCTGCCGCGGTAACGGCAGCTCGCCATTAGTTTGTGGCAGCTAAAAAGTCAGTCGCCATGGGTTTGGCCATAGCGGCCATGGTTTGGAAATCCTGCCATGGTTTTGCGGCAGCTTCAGACGCCACAAAATACTTGAAACACTTGTAATAATGAGGTAATTTAACATAAGCTTATGGCAGTACATTTCACATCTCAAGTTTAGAATTCATTTTAATAATTTTTGTACGAATTGCAGAAGAAATTGGGAAAATCCTTCAAATAAGGATCGGAATAATGGTCTCCATCGTCTGCATTGCGGTAATCGTCGTTTTAATTATTTGTTGTACCCGGCATTGTAAAAGAAAAAAGAATAAGAGAGCTGCACGGGCCACAAGTTCTCGGGAATCCCCTGATAAAAATTCCCCTGGACACGCTTCTAACCCAGAATCAGCACTTTTCGTTAATTCATCAGTTTAGGAAAAACTTTTCAGTTTTTCAGCGTTTTGTTTAGTGTATTTTCAGCAAAAATTGCCTCATTTCAAACTCACTGCCATTCGAATTCTAAAGTTACACATCTCAAATCTCTTCACCCAACCCAGGGTGTAAAAATTTAGGTAGACAATGTCGAACCAGAATGATTTCTGTCCTTAAATATTTGCTCATTACACATCGTTGGAGATAAAAGTGACTGCTTGTACCGGACCTTATTCAGAACAAATTGTAAATGTACTTTTGTAGATGAATTTGTTTTGTAGATGTCTAAATTATTCCATTTTTCGAATTTTTCAAAATGTTACATTTATTACAAATTTGCTGCTAAAATGTAAAAGATGTAAAAATGCTTTCAAGACTCTTCTATAAATTGAATTTTTATCTAAATTCAAGTGATTAACAACTTTAAAACATAATATTAATCATTTAATCATTTTCGATTACGTAAAATTAACCAAAACGCAGAAAATCTTCAGTATTTTCTGGTGGAATTCTCTGATCGCTCTACTGAAAACTAAAAATTTTTTTTTAAATTGTGATGGAATTATATGGACATTTTTGCTGAAAATGCTTAAAATAGCAATAAACTCATTTTTTTAGCAATGTAACAAATTTACAATGTTTTTGAATATTTCTAGAAAATGAAATTTAACCACCTCTCCCTATGTCACTGAGTGTCGGACCCAATTATCTTGTTACTCTGAAATTTCATTTCCTATTTTGAGAATCTAAATTGCACAAAATCCGTTAGATGTTAATATTTTTCAAAATTTGGGGGGGGGAATATTTAAAAAAAAAATCAATATTGAAAAAATAATTATCTTCATATTTCATGAATTTCAAAATATTATTCTTTACATTTGTAAGTCCTAAAAATTTAACTCATTTTTTTTTCGCCCCCCTCCCCCCACAAATTATGCACTGAAAAAAACATTGTAACTTTAAAAACATATTTCAATGTTATCATTTTATGCTTTTTTTGATTGTTTTAATGTTATTTGAGACAAGGGATGCATTTCTGGGGAATTCCCCCTAACCCACAACACTTCATTACTAACAAAAAAAATTCGGGAAGTGATTACTTTACACTTTTACATTCCGTAGAATCATAGGTGGCACTAGAGAGTATTTTACTACTAAGGGCACTAGCAAAATTTCTTCCTAAGGAGTTACACATATTGAAAATTTAGTCCTTTAGAACTGTTAGCCGTTAGAACAAAACAAAAAGAATTGCAGCAAAGATTTCAAAACAAAAGTCAAATGATAAGTCAGTGTTTGCTGTCGACTAGCCTTTCCTCTCGCTTGAATATTTTCTGTTTTGCAATTTCCATTCCAAATGCTCTTATTTCATTGTCTACGCCCCCTTTGTGGGTGAAGCCCCATCGCTTGAAAACCACTAATTTAGAGTATAGGTATTGACATTGCTCTTTTTTCTTAATGTATTGAAACAATCTCTCCCCAGTTGTTTCATTCATCACATTATCATGGAATGCTCATCTTTTGTCTCAAAAATCATTGAAATTGTCTAAAGCTAAATGTGGTATCATAAAAAATTGAGTTTTTTGCTTCTAAAAACGTTTCTTTTTTATGAAAAAAGCGAGGTATGACGCACTTACATCGCGATAAAAGTCACTCATCTCAGGATCAGTAATTTATTTTTCCACCAATGCTGGAAATACGCATCCTACATAATACGTGTATAAAAAAATAAGGATAGCATTTCCAGGGTGGATGAAGACGCTAAAATAATCACGCACACTTACTCGGAAGCAAAGGAATCATCTCTGAGCAAGGTATTCAATTAAAGGACCTGTGCAATTATTGAAAATTCAATCATTCTGTATAGTTTGAGCATCTCTTGACATTTCCTAGATTGCTCATAACTTTGCTCAGAGATGAGTGTCATAAATATGCATAGTTTTAGCATATCTCTTGGCCTTTGAGGGGTAGGCGTTCATTTCTGGAGATGATTTTCGGGCTCGAATCTAATACTTTCAGCCACTAGACTCAAATTAATTTTGCTATGCCCAGTTCTTACCACTTCATAGCAGCTTCTGCCACGAACGAACCGATGGCACCTCTTGCCGTTATGGTGCTATTACCGGTATATTCACAAAGTCATGTACCAGATTTTAGTTTATCATGCGGAATTATATCTACGGTACTTTAACCTGAAACCTGATCCCAAATTCATCAAAACTGTATCCATAGGAAAAATGTTCCAACTTACCCAATATTATCACCATCAGGGCAGCCCTGCCATTACAGCCGGCATGCCGTGGTTACGGCATTAAAATTTTATCCGCCTTTGGTTTTCAATTTGCTGCCGTGCTAACGGCGGCTCGCCATTGGTTTGTGGCAGCTAAAAAGTCAGACGCCAGCGGCCATGGTTTGTAAATCCCGCCATGGTTTTGCGGCATCTTCAGACCCCACAAAATACTTGAAACTGCACTTGTAATGATATGCTCATTTAACATAAGCTTATGGCATCACGTTTCACATCTCAGTTACGGTATCTGTAGAAATTAACTTCACCACGGATAATGAATAGAAAATAGAATGAATTTTGTGTATTGCTGTGGAGTGCTTATTATATTTTGGATTGTATCGAATTTTTAAATTTCGTGAGTCAGAATTCCGAGACAACATTTAGAATTCTTTGGGGCAAAATAAGCAAATATTGATTAGGCACTCACAACAGAAGATTAAAGAAGTCTTATGTATGACAATGGATCCAGGGGCATAGTCAGAGGGGGTTTCCCCCCTCCCCCTTTTGTAAAAAAAAGGATATTTCTGTATGAAACACTTTTTAGCCTCCTAAGACTCTTGAAAACCCCTCCGTCTTGAACCTGCGAGATGTTACAGTCTGACATAACAATTAGAAAATTTCCGCCTTTGAAAATTCCCTGCTAACCCCTGTTGATATGGATATGATAATTGAGCCATCTTATAGCTTGTTACATAGGCCGGGTTGGACTGATTGTCATTGCTCAAGGACAAATTTGAATGACTTTGAATCCGGGGTATAGACTGATTTTTATTGAAAAATGTTTAGTTCCATATATCAAAGATTTTTTATGAGATTATTTTGCACTATCGACCTGTGCAGTAAAATTCATTTCGTTGAGGAACTGTGAATGTTACATTCATTTTTGGGCGCTCCAGAAGTATGTGTACCAATATAGAGGTAACTAATTTTGTTTGCCTAATTAACATCTAGTTGTGTAAAGGGACTGAAACCTATGGGAATGGGATATTCACTTGGTCCCCGAACTCGTAATATAATAAAATAAGGAATATCGGAATAAAATTATGGCCTAACCGTAACCTGGTACACACACTACGGGAGTCTATGATTCCTTTTCTAAGCTTTTAACAAGTATACATTTATTTTAACAATTTTTGTATGAATTGCAGAAGAAAATGGAAAAATCATTCAAATAGTGATCGGAATATCGGTCTCCACCGTCTGCATTGCGTTAATCGTCGTTTTAATAATTTGTTGTACCCGCCAACGTAAAAGAAAAAAGAAAAAGAGGGCTGCACGGGCCGCAAGTTCTCGGGAATCCCCTGATAAAAATTCCCCTGGACACGCTTCTAACCCAGAATCTGCACCTTTCGTTAATTCATCAGTTTAGGAAAAATTTTCAGTTTTTAGGCGTTTTGTTTAGTGTATTTTCAGCAAAAATTGCCTCATTTCAAACTCACTGCCATTCGAATTCTAAAGTTACACATCTCAAGTCTCTTCACCCAGCCCAGGGTGTAAAAATTTAGGTAGACAATGTCGAACCAGAATGATTTCTGTCCTTTGAAAAATATTTGCTCATTACACATCGTTGGATATAAAAGTGACTGCTTGTACCGAACCTTTTTCAGAACAAAGTTTAAATGTACTTTTGTAAATGAATTGGTTTTCTAGATGTCTAAATTATTTCATTTTTTG